AAGAAGTGGACTGATGTTCTACAACAGCCCCTCTGGGAGGTGGCCCTGAAGGACAGTGGGAGAAAGGAAATCCTTCCCGTGGACACAACTTTGAGCAGTACCTTTAGTTGTCACGTGGAAAGAGAGAAAGCTAGTGGCTTGGATAGAACCAGTGTCTAGCAGGTTAGCTGGATAGTCAGAGATTTGGAAGGAACAAGATCAGAGGATTGGTGATAAGGTGGCCTGAGGAAAACGATGTGGGTGAACCAGTTAGACACAGAGTATGAGCATATTGTGAATGTTCATCAAAGGCATCCTCTTCCTGAGGAGGCTTTTGAGAAGCAGGTGGGCAGGAAGACTTCTGTAGATGTCAGTCAGTCTTTTCCTCAGCCACCCCGGGCGCTTGTTCAAGGAATGAGGAGACTATGGCGGTAGGAACATATGATATGTGTGAGTTCATCAACATGAAATTCTCATCAAGGCTGATCTGGCTGCTGAGCACCCAATATCTCACATCAGGGACCAACTCTGCGCCCCAGTGGAGAGGACCATACACCAAGGGAGACCAGCCAGCCACTTTGTGGCAGACAGGTTAATGCCAGGACCTTTCATCACCATGTGGGCAGGGATTTGCCCTCTGGGGGGTAAACCTTTATTGCAGATATGGATTTGCTTTTCCTTCCTGCAATGCGTTTGCCAGCATCATCACTGTTGGACATTCTGAATACCTTGCTCACCATCATCATATCCCTCACTAAGAAACCCATTTTACAGAAAAAGAAGTGACTGCCATAGGATTCAATGACTTTATTCTGAACCTCATTACCCCAAGCAGCTGGCCATATTGGACAGCAGCGTGGAGTAAGGAAGACTCAGGTACAGCCCCAAGTAGGAGACAGCACTTAGCAAGCTGGGTGTGCTGCCCTTCATGGGCAGTTATGTTCTAAACCAAATTGCTGTTTTTTTCCATGGCCAGGACACATGAACTCAGGAACAGTAAAAGTGAGAGGGTTGTGTCCCACACTTAAACCTAGTTAGGGGCCCCTGGGTGGCTCAGTCGTTGGGCATCTGCCTTTGGCTCAGGTCATGATCTCAGGGTCCTGGGATAAGCCAGCGTTGGGCTCCCTGCTCAGCAGGGAGTCTGCTTCTCTCTCTCCCTCTTCCCCCAGCTTGTGCACCTGCCCGCATGCTCTCTTTCTTTCAAATAAATAAATAAAATCTTTTAAAAAATAAAATAAAAAAATAAACCTAGTTATGCGCTTGCAAAATAGTGCTTCCTGTTCCTATGACATTGGGCTGTGTTTCCACTAGGGGACACATAATTCTTTGAATAGGAATTTGAAACTCTATCTGGATATTGCCATCAGCCAGCAAGGAAATAAGGGGGTTACTGAACTGGCTGGGGGGATCGATAAGGGAAAACAGTGATGCAGCCACACAACAGGGTCAGGGACAAGCATGTCTTCGACCCAGGAGTTCCTCCAAAGTTGCTTCTAGTAATTCCCTGTTCAACGTTACATGTTAATGGAAATCTATAGCTGTTCAACAAGGAAGGACTGTTTGGGGCTCAAATCCTTCAGGATTGAAGGTTTGTGTCACCCTACTGGCTGGGAAGATTTCTGAGGGCAAAGAGAACAATGAATAAGGAAGTAATAAACACCATCTCCGGTCTCATTTCCTGTTGCAGAATAAAGGACTGTAGAAGCTACATATTTTTCTTCCTGGCTTTGTTTTTTGTAGGTATTAATGAACTTCTTTTAATTGCTTTACCTTTTCCTTTTATATGAGATTTGCTGCTGGTGGTGAATTTTATAAGATGGTCTTTAGGTTAGAGTGTCTTAAGGTGGAATTTGTGCCTAAAAGAGAAGAGGAAGGAACATCACATAGCAATGGGTGTAAAGATTCAGGGATAGGATAAGCATGTTTTCGTTTGAAGGAGGGAACAGCAGCATTAGGTGGGAACGGAGTTCTGTTGTTGGCTTGAAAGATTATTAGCGGAAGCTGTGGACTGCACTAGATATTGTTAATTTTTATTTAGCTTCCATGCTCACTCCCTTCTACGTCTCCCTATGCCCTGGGTTATAATGCATGGAAGGTTAAAATCACATTTTCCAGATTTCTATGGAGTTAAAATTCTGGACATAATTTGAGTTCTGCTGATGACTGATGAACAGTGGTGCAAGATCTGGAAGATGGAGGGGAGGAAAAAGCCATCCTTCTGTGACAGAATGAGCTGACAAGCAAGCACCTCTGCTCAGTGGAGCTGGACTCCAGGTGTCCTTGTCAGTGCTCCGAGGGCATGGGACATCTGTGGTGGCAGAACTCTGGATGGCAGATACAGTGGAAGTCTCCATTCTGCCATCCCTTCCAACACATACACGTTCATTTCCTACTAAATCATTACGCTCGACATTCTTAGTGGTTTCTGTTTCCGGTACTGCACCAGGAGAAACCTCCCTGGACATGGAGCCTACACTGAGAGAGTAGAGTTGAGAAGTGAAGATTAAGAATCAGGTCCTTGTCTGATCAAGCCTCACCTGAACCAGACACATCCTAGACCAGTCTGTTAAAAGAAGGGCAGTGCGGTCAGTTAAGTGGCTGACTCTTGGTTTTGGCTTGGGTCATACTCTCAGGGTCATGGGATTGAGCTCTGTGTCAGGCTTTGAGCTCAGCAGGGAGTCTATTTAGGATTCTCTCTCCCTCTCCTTCTGCCCCTGCCCCCCCCCAACCCCGTGCTCTCTCTCTCTCTTAAATAAATAAATAAAATCTTTTTAAAAAAATGAGGGGGTGCCTGGGTGGCTCAGTCGGTTGGGCGTCTGACTCTTGGTCTCAGCTCAGGTCATGATCTCATGGGTCATGCGATCCAGTGGTGAGGGGCCACAAAGCTCAGCTCAGCGGGAAGTCTGCTTGATATTCTCTCTTTCCCCTCTCCCTTCACCCCTCCCCGCCTCCAAAATAAATAATTTTTTTTTTTTTTAAAGAAACTAATTTCTATTTAAACACTTAAGGACACGGTATGGTTTTTGCCCAACATCACATTTCCAGTACAGCGCTGCACATAGTAGGCACTCAATAAAGATTTACTGAATAAATTAGTGAATGAAGTGACTTTTTTACTAAGAAGTGGTTTTTAGAATATTAGATCAGTTAGGATGCTTTTGATGTAATAAACATAAAATCAAACACAAATTGGTTTACAGTAGAAAGCAGAGGAAGAGAGGATTCTTTTTTTTTTTTTAAGATTTTATTTATTTATTTGACAGAGAGAGCACAAGCAGCAGGAGCGGCAGGCTGAGGGAGAGGGAGAAGCAGGCTCCCCGCTGAGGAGGGAGCTCGATCCCAGGACTCTGGGATCATGACCTGAGCCGAAGGCAGACCCTTAACCGACTGAGCCACCCAGCTGCCCTCATCAACTAAAAGAATTTTAAAGAATTTTTATCCAGTTTCTTGGTGTTGTGAAGGAAGGGTTTTTAGTTTATGTAATCCACAATATTACCAGAAATAGTAGCCCTGCAGTGTTTGTCAAAGCAATTTTATCTAACTTCTATGAACCATTCTATTCTTATCTGTAAAGAAGTAAAGATGTAAAGATTAAGGATTGTTAAGAAGTTTTTTCCAGAACATGCTTTACCTTCTCTTGTAAATTCCACATGACTACTTGGGCCTCTGTGGTAGAAAAGCCTTTATGCCACAATAACACAATCTCTAATATTTAGCTTTGAACTAAACATTGTGTTAACTAGAAATATAAAGCCCCTTAAGAGAGGGGCCTCCATAGGGCCTCCTAAAGAGACATGTACAGAGTAGATGAGCAATGCATTTTCCTTGAATTATATGAGGACGGGATTTAGTCATCTGACTTCAGTGCTGAGTTGGAATTACATTTCCCCCCAATTCTAAGTTTGAGATAGCCACCACAAGTGCTTTGATCCTCAGTGAGAGAGGAATTATTCTGGGAGGACAAAAATTTGTGCATCATTGGGAGAGCTGTCTCATCTACACTCAAACACCGATTTACGCATGTTTCTGATAGTATCTGCTTATGCTCTTATGTGAACCCAGAGCATGAAAGAAGTGAAAAGCCCAGCATCCCCCATTAGCAAGACTATCCCCTTTGGATAGCTAAATGGCCTTTTCCCCAAAAGCGAGCAAACAAGTCTGAGTTCAGAAACTTCAAATGTTGTCAGTATTATTAAATTCACGTTATTTATATCTAAATGTTATTGAATTATCATTATTTGGTTATTTGATTAACTTATTTCATTATTTAAATTTAATTATTATTCATCAAAATAAAATATCCACGCCTACAGCATTAACCAGAAATCAAGGTTGGCAATAGGATTCATACTTCAGCTTTGCTCCTAGGGAAGTGCCTGCTAAGCACTCTTTGAATTTTGCATCCATTTCCTGGTTCTGAGTTTCACTGAACAAATTTTTCCAATCACCAACTTCACCTGCAACACACAAAAAACAACAGACCCGGGCTCTGTTAGAATATTTCTTCCTATCTTCTTTTTTTTGGGGAAATCAGAGGGGGAGACGAACCATGAGAGACGATGCACTCTGAGAAACAAACTGAGGGTTCTAGAGGGGCGGGGGG